AATAGCCTTTTTTTCTGTACTAAAAGAGTACGTCTACGACTCTGTATTTTACCTTCATAACCATACAATTAACCCTTTTGTTAAGATCTCTTCACGTTGATGAATGAATAAGAGGCGTGCTGTTAATGTGTCTAAATTCGAGTAACAGCGTGGGAGTGTATTTTTACATTTTTGTTTTTGCGAAATTTCGCCGATCCCCATAAAAGTCGCATCTCGACTTGATCCTCTGGCTAAATATGGCGAATAAAACGCGACCAAGTAGGGCGAATGCCTTTGTTTCCTTATCTTCCGCCTCCGTGCCGGCCTTTTGCATAGCGGCTCGCTCGGTTGACACATATTACTCGGGCCAGCGCCGGCGGGATAACGGGATTCGGAAAGTAATGAACAACCCGTTAACTCGGAGTTACTTTTATTCAAATTTTGATTTCGTTTAGCTGGTTAAATGCGTCACAAGGACACGTACCCGTTAATCTCGAATGCAGTGCACCGTTCTTCTTCTCTCAGATTGCCCACGTAATTCGCTGAACGAACTTTGACTTTCGTTTGATAACATGCCAATAACGAAACCATAACAGAACTGTATTGAATTCTGGTACTCAGATTTTATATCGTAAAGTGTGGATTTTTTGCTAAATTAATTATTTTTTAACTTCGCATCTTATCTAAAAAAAATCTGTCTAGGAACAGTCCTTAAATCTCGCAAGTGCCCAATTTCCTGTTAAATTATATACCCTGATATTCGCAAATTAAACGTTTCCGACATTGAAAAGCTTATAGAGTAAAAACATCTGCCAACCAAAATTATTTTTCCACCTGTTTCCAAATTACCCTTTTTTTGGTTCTTAATTACAGATAGATCTAAGAAGATGTCGAATAAAAAAACGCGAACGAAGGGCAAGTTCGATGAAAAATAATGTAGAAAGATGATTCGCAAATTTAAAAAGGCGACGGTGAATTTTCGACACAAAGAAAGTAAATTATTTCGAGGCGAATGAAATCTTACGCAATATGATTCGCTCGAAACTGAAGCACAACCGCGCGAATAATTTTACTATCAATTTTAACTGTATATCGCCACGTAATACGTGATGGGTAAGTACCACAACCATGTTAGATGCGGATGGCACATTGGCGTTCCATCCAGTTTCTTCTTCATATAACATTAGCTTTATTCAAGCTAAAAATCCAAACTAACGAATTAGAGGTAAAAGAAATGCGCTATTTATTGCTAATAACTTAGAGCAAATTTTCAGGTAGTAAGAACTCTTAAAGAAGGTTTATAAGAGCTATTGATACGCCAATGTTGCCATTTAATGGTCAACCCACGTCGAAGCGGTGACCATCTTCTATCTTTTCTTCACAAACAACCTAAATGGGTCAAGACATGGTATGAATAAGCAAATAATATCGAATTCATCGAAATTCGTTTCGTACGTTTTATTGGATTATTATTTCGTAGTCGATTCCAACGCTCAAAACAACTAACGGTACATTTTTCCGTCGTCTTTAACAATATTTTCTTCGAATGTACCATTCGTGTCATTAGCGACTCGACCGAAACTAGTTTTTGTTTGCAGTTGGGCGTGTTGTTTGCCGATTTAATACACCTATAGGAAGATCGAAAAAAGTCGAAAACACCATATTTCATTATTATATTTTTTTACAAATATTATTAGATACCCACATCATATGAAACTGTATATTTTTAACAAATAAATAATGAATATGCCTATTGGTATAATACCTATTGGCATGACTCTAAGATTGAAATCTCTGCATGTAAGAACAGCTGCTCCAAATACTCTCATCCACCACTTAAAGGTTAAATAGAGCATGAAATAAATAAAGTAGGTACGTGCGATAACTCGAAAGATTTTTTCCGGGTGCCGACACGACGACATCGGACGCGACAAGCGAAATTACATCGAGCTTCCTTTTCCGCCGAGTCTTTTTCTAGTTTTCGGACTAACTGTACATCCGCTAATGAAGCAAATTGGCGAGGTAATGAATTTCTGGTCGATTAAAACGGAAGTCGAATCATCGGCGATTTTTTCAGGACGAGATCCAGGAAAGAGGTTTGCGGCGATTTTTAATAAACGCCAATTAAAAAGAGCCGGCTGATAAAAGCTCTCAATTAAATAATAACTGAGTCATAAATAAAATGTTGATTTGGTTAAAACTAACAAATTTAAGATATAAAATCGAATCATCCTGTATTGTACTACAAAATATTCTAATGATGAAGTATTTCCAAAAATTTAGCTTAACGAAAAAAGTCAATATATGTAGAAGTCGTTTCCACTGAAGTATTAAGTATTAACCAACTGAAATTGATGTCTAAAAATCTTCGAAGCGGTTATGCAACTAATACCTATCTAAATATAATATTTAATTAACCATAAAACCGGTCACTATAAATTGAAAAAAAGAAACAAAAGGAAAGTTCAATGACCAAATCCGTCTGGTTTAATTAATTCCGTTTGAAATTCCTAATATCGAGATAAAAATATTCAAATAAAAAAACCGGTTATGCCTACATCTAATTAGATGCAAAATATCGCTAAATTTTAGACTAGTTAATTAATTCAATTAGTTTAGACTATCTAATCACGTTAAGTTCGCATTCGTCTCGACTTATTTGAATAAACTCTTGAATTACTGATGGTAAAGACATTGCTCCTTTGAAGACGACAATTATTTACGCATTTAGGTCAAAATTATCCTCTAGATAGATATTCAAATAATTATTTGCAAGAGATCATTTCAGTTGCGCGAGAAGACATTAAAATAATATTAATAAACAATTTTGAGCTAATGTTCCTAATTCACATTGGAATTGCTATTTATTTCATAACTACAATTCCATTAGTTTTGAGATTTTTGTACACGATCAACTACTTTGGAGCGAACCAATTAAGCGGTAAATGAAACAGACAATGGCCATTCTGTTAAAAGCAAACAAGGAAATTCAAACACGATAAATATGTAGCATTAAGAATTCCCCATGGGTTTTTGCTCGCCTCAAATAATGCCTTCTCGAAGTGTTTTTGCATAATGTGGGTTAACGGTATTTTGTTTATCTTTCGAGGAATTTCTGGTGATTTGATCAAAATAACATCAGGTAGATAGGCGGTAGGTGGTTATTCGCGACTCGCTGATGTGATCAAGCGTGGGTTTTAGTTTTTTCGACTATTCATAATCGCTAATATTTCACATCCAAGATTATTTATTAGGTACTCTAGTCGGTATCGAAAATATTGTAGAAAACTTATTGAAAAAAGCCAGTTAAAATGCAGAGATGATGCTAGAACATGAAGGGAGAATAAGAGAACTGCTAAATGATTGCAAAGTTAATTTACATTCGATATTATGGTGAATGTACTAGCGCTCCCGCCTTAATTTCTTCATACTTATTCAAATTATTACTAAAGGTAAAATTATCGACAAATGCAGTTCAAATGAACATTATTTTAATCTTGGTTCAACCACTTTTGGACCTATCAAGGGTTAACCAGAACACCCTCTCAATTCTCTAACGAGTTGGTTTTAGCAGGTACTCCAATGAAACTTTGAATGCTCTCTAGATTCCTCCTTAACAGAGATAAACCGGTAGTCGCGCCATTATCATGGAGAACAAACAGCAACGCCAATATGAACGTGGACGTTCGCATCAGACGTCGAAGATGGCGTTCGAAGAAGAACGGGTTTGGTTCACTAGGCAATCGGAGGTCGTTGATACTGCTGCCGCCGTCGACAGCGGGCATCCAAGTCGCCGCCATTTTGCCACCTCTGCTCCCTCTACTTCCGACGTTTCGTTTTCGCGTTCACGTTCACGTTCACTGCGAGCGGTTGCGCAACTCTTGTTTTTCGACAAATCGCTTCCATCGCACCGCGGCTTACTTACCGGGATGGATTCGTAAGCTCAGAACTCGTGTGGGAATCTTATATCTCTATGGAGGTGTCTTTTCCAATAAAATATGAATAGATGTGGTCGTTTGGGAACACGTTTGTTTCGAGTCGTAAAGGCAATTTATTTAAACATTGAATACAAAATTTCAATTTGCTTACCTACACTCCGATATAATTAATCTCACTATTCTTCCAGATGGTACAGAAGATGAGTGTTCTAAAAATTTGACCTGTTTACCAACAGGTAGGCATTAAAGGGTTGTGTATCCGTCCGACAGTAGTCTCAGTAACGCACATTTGTCACTTTCGCTCGCATTTTCGACAAATAGATAAACGTGGGAAAGGGCACTACAAAATCCTTTTAAGAGCCCTTGCAAATACAAATCGTAGAAATTCTCACGCGGTATTCAAAAAAAATATGTTTGCATTGTGGGAGGTTATTTACAAAACTAACAAGTCATGCGAACGATATTTTAAACTAAATAGAAGAGTTGAATGGGATACTATTATATTATATTGCTCTTTGAAAAACATGTCTAGTGTGCTTCAATTTATTTTACCGGTATATTGATAATATAAGAGATAATTTAAGAATAATTATTACAAAGTTTATTAATAGAACATTCCGTACTCTGGTATTTACCATTATCTCGCTGTCCTATAAATCCCCCAAAAAAATTACTTAACGTTGTTCTATAATTAATGCGAAGTCATCTTTCTGCAAAATAAATAAAAAGGAATGAGCCGTGTCCAGTGGTTTTCCATTAACCAGATGACGGTTGCATAACGTAGCAATTTATATTCGTGCGGCCTTTGCAAGATAACTTTTTAATTATTGGTTACTAATACTCGACAATCTGTCGCTTGTAACGTTTGTACGCGAGTACATAACAGTACCGTTAGAAATAATACCTACCAGCGTTCTTGAAACCACGCCAAGTTGAAGGTAAATAATAGCAAAATGTTGCAAATACTGTTGCATTTACAATAACAATGCTCCATGAAAATAATAGTCAAATCCCCCTCATGTTTTGCATACTCGAGTAGCAAACTACTGGTAATTTGTTACGAATTATAGAGTCATAATAATTGCTATTTTTACTTTAAAAATTGTTCATATAATGCAATCGATTGACACTAATGGTGACGCTAACATCATAAGAATGGTCGATGCGACGAGGAGTCTTACACAATTGTTGCTACTTCGTAACAACGATCTGAGTAACGGTACAAGTTCATCGATGAAGTGCCTACCGTAACAGGAGCATAAATTCACGAATTCGTACAATAGTTCAATGTTGCATAGAATTAGAACGGCCGTTTCGTCCATGGAAGGTCCTAGTAGCATCCTCAAAGACACGTCGCTTGTATTGTCGATGTCAGGAAAATTCGCTTGATTAGTATTTTGAACGGGAGGTCGCGTGGGAATCGGTGCATTACCGGCATTATCTTGAGCCTCTGTTATTTGTAAAGATCTGCTGCAATCAATACCTCGGTCAACACAAGCCGCTTTCCTTTCGCTTTCCTTCACTTTTTTCCTTTCAGTTTCTCCATAAAATTTTACAACGAGTTCTATTATATCCCTGTAGCTGCAATCGTCTTGCAATTGCTGGCTGCTATCTGGTGCACTACTTTGCGATGCTTCTGATGCACTTGAGCTTTTTCTTGAACTGTCCTTTACCATATCTCATATTGATAATTCCTTAATACTTTAAAATTTAGCATTAATGTTCTAATAATGACGTTTGTGTCAGGATAATAGGTTACATTCGAAGCTCTCTACACTGGGATAATAATCACAGAAGCATTCTAGGATTAATCAATTACACAGGAATAAACATTTGCAACTTACGCCGTCATAATTATGTCAAAAACGATTTGATATCCAGCAAAATTTGTAGTGGTTTAATAGAAAAATAAAAATTCGAAATGAAGACGTTACAAAGTGCCGCCAAGAAGTTCAGGAACTACGCCGCCGCCGTCGAGTGCGACGTGTTGAATTTAATGTTCGAATTAATGGACATCATCGACGCCAAGACGCGAACGCTCAGACACCTAATGGAATTGTACCTGCAAATTAAAACCATCGAAGCGGCTGAATTCAAAGGTAAATAATGTTTAAATGAAATAAATCACGAATGTATAAACAAGAATTGAATGTAGACACTGTTTAGAGTAGGTACGTAGAGTCTATTCTTATAGGATCTTATAGGTGTTCTATTTTTATAGACCATAAGATTCTTATACTCCATAACAATAGAAAGAAAAGCTAAATATTTAGTCACTTTTTAAGGATCATTTAAACCAAAACTTTAGGTATTACTACTCGATTACTTTCAAATATTTGCACCTAATAGGTTTTATTTTATCGTTTATTAACTCAATTAAAGTAGAAACAATTTTAGGTGAAGAATGTGTCGCAGAAACAAACAATACCAACTCACTTCACAATTTGAACGAAGAGGAGCTCTTGTCGAAAAGCATCGAAAAAATGACCGATTTGATTAAAAGTTCGTTACCAGTAATCAAGGAAGACGCGGAAAGCAATAAACCAAAGAACCAAAAACACATCATGATACCTAAAGTAGAGAAATTCCAAAGTGAAGAAGATATATTAGAAAGAACCAAGACGTTCGTCGACGATTTGGTCGAGTATGCAATGTCGAAAAGCGAGCAAAGAAGATTGCATCAATTCGAAAACGGCAAAACAGAATTGTTTAATGTTAAAGCAAACAAAATGCTAGTCAAAAACGATCTAAAAATCGAAGGTGGAAATGATAAAGAAACCGATAACGCCTCAATCACATCGAAAGAATCCGAAATCGTGTGTCTATCCGAAAACACTTCCGAAAAAGTTATCAATTCCATAAACTTCGACGGCAGCGTTCGATCGGTCACGTCGAACAAATTCGAATGCGCCACTTTCAGGACGATCATAGACCCGAAAAACCATCGGATGTACAACGAAAACAACTACTACAAACAGGATAAACCCCAAGATGGGAGGTCCGATTCCAACTTATCCGATTGTACGGACGTGGAGGTTAATTTCGTAACCGCCAATCCTGTATCCAACGACACCGAAGTCCAAAGCCAAAACACAAATCCACCTAACGATGAAATAGTAATCAAAGACAGCAATCTCGAGGCGACTCGGGAGAAGTACTTATTCCCTGAAGTGTACTCCAAGTACGTAAGAAAATTATTATTTCCATTAATTTTCATTCACTTAACCGCTTACTCATCTACCTTCAACCAAAAGCAATAAAAACAAATTATTGAGCAAATACAATATTTTTTTATTCGATTACAGTTCGTTCGGCTTGAAGCCCCGAGGGAACGAGCCGTCTTCTTGGATGTCAATGGACAGGGTCGCCGATATTCAGCAAGCGCGAACGAAGACGGCGAAGAAGAAATCGCGAAGTCCCAGAAAGATGAACATGGACGCCAAAGTTCGACTGGATCCTCTAACGTACAGGAAAGTTTGCAGTGCGATTCTCAGCACGGTGAACAAGCAGGACATCGCCAGGATGAGGATACAACAGAAACCGGTTAAGAACGAAACCGACTACAATTCCAATTGCGATCTGGAGAGCGTAAAAACTGGCAAGAGCAGTTCCGATCACGAAGTGGACAATATTTTGAGGAAAATGATGCCTACCAACGTTACCGCAGATATCAACAAGATGTTTATGAACAGAGCTCGAATTGTTCATCCGTGGAAAAAGAATACCATTGTGACCGGAAGAGATGTATTTAAGAAAGACTTTGCAGTTTGATGTATGTGTGTTGAGTTCGTCTATTAATATTACGAGTAGTTTGATTCAAATATTCGAGTCCCTTGAAAGTGTCCAGAGTAGTTAGGAGGCACAATGTAGTCTCATTTTTTACAAAAATAATTAAAGTTATAATTTTGTTGTTTTTTTTATTACATGAACAATTCGCACTGACCTAAATTGCGCAGTTATCAATAGAAATACAGGGATTCCTCCTACTAACATATTAAAACAAAACAACAAATATTAATTCTGCAGATTGTTAAAGATACCTTTAGAGACGTATATTGTCTCATAAACCTATTGTATTGAATGTAAACGGGTCAGCGACGTGAGCAGCAATTCATTGATTATAATTTATGTCATGAGAATAACAATGCGGTAATTACACATTATAGAGAATTCAAGGAAGTAAGCGAGCAACTGTACAAGAATAAAAATTTTATATGATGGATATTTTATCCCTATTGCGACGTTACTTCGTTGTTTATACGATTATAATAATTGACCATCACCTTCTGAAGAAGAAAAATATACCGCAACTTTGCATGGAGTAAATTTAAGAAACCCTAATACTAAAATGCGGATGGTTTGCGCATCACCAATTATCTATAATACAAACTATTACCGAACTATCGTCGATCAATGTGACATTGGCCAACTTGCTTCGACTTTACGAGGGACCTTGGCCGATCGAGTGCGGCACCGGGGGGGTCCGAGAGAGGAGGGACCGCAGCCATACATCGATGGCAGGTTCAACGCACCTGACGGAATGGCGAGTCGGTCGTACCGTTAACCCGGCAGCGAGAGCGCTAATGGGTTCCGCTAACGCTAACGCTAACGCGAACCATCATCGCGGGTACCTTTCTGCATCTGGTGCTGCTCCGTCTTTCGAGCCGATGCTAGTTTGGGGACCAGCGCTATACGGTGTTGATACTAGTTTTATCCAAGTCTTAAGATGTATGGGTATCCTTTCTTAGCGAATTTTTCTATAGAGCATACGCCATGTATTTGGTCTATAAAGTTACTTGAGGTTTTGATTCTAACGAAGGTTTACATGCAATTTTTCAACGCTCGACCAACCCAAAATAAGTAATTCCACTACTTAGACTTCTACGCTCCTTAATTACTTGTTTTTTCAACAAAAAACGAACTCGTTCTTTTTCTACAATGTACTTACATGGTACAATAAGCGCTCTTGTTATTTTGTTATAGCAATTTTTTCCGGTTCGGTCTAACCATGGGAAATAATTTTTGCTCCACGAGTTTGAAGCGACTCGTTGAGTGCTCGGTTAGCAACAGGTTCGTACATTACCAAAAGTGGAAATTAACTTAACTCACATACAGTCGACGTAGGTATTTTAGTATATTAATTAAAGCGAGCTTATGAAGAAGAACTTCTTGTTTATACGTGATTGCGAGTTTTCACAGAGAATAAATTTAGAATTGCGTATCAATTAAAAAGTACTACGTGGGAACAACAAACAGAGATAAGCAATGGACAAGATCGTTGAAAAATTCAATGTAATAATTGAGCATAAAGTCGATGAAAGTAGAAGTTTGGATAATTACATAAAGAGGAATAAATAGCAAAAGATTAATAGATTTGGAGTTGACATCAATTCTATATTGTAATAAGTTCATCTTATAGTGGTAAAGTATTTTTTTTCAATCGGGCCGTTATTATTTCCAACCCATCATGTTACGATGTTTGTATTGTACGCTCGAATGGCAAGGAACTAATGAATTATGCGACTATGAATATATGTAACACTCATTATTGTTTATCGCGATTGGTCGCGTGTCCATCATTATGCATACGCAATGCAGGTACTAGTGGTATTAAAATAAAGTATCCAGGATCGGCCCTACATCACTAATAACTCATTTCCCAATATCTCATATTACTCTATCTTAAATGCATACAGAATTATGTTTTACCAAAATGCATCTAATTAGAAATGCTCATTAAAGTACCCATACAATCTATAACAAAATTATCATTAATAGAGCAGAACTATAGACCCCTAATTTATAAAGTCGCGATAAGATTTTAAAACTACTTCATAAAGGGATTTAATAATAAAAAATAAATTCCGGTCTTAAAGGTACTTGGATTGCGGCCGACTCTGGAGTTCCTCGGCTCCGGCTGGAGGCCGTGATAACCCAATCGGCGGTACTTCCGCGTTCATACATCATAATACGTTATTATCTGCAGCGGCAGGTTCGTTCTCAATTTTTTACGCCATCCGTCATGCTCTGTGAGCAGCCAATAGAACGTTGCAGAAGGAACGACTGTAGTAAATCATCGCTCAATTTACTATATTATATAGGTTAGAGGTGAATGATGGCTGCATGGAAATAGCGAAGGAAACTCCTTTCGCAACGCGAAAAAATTTCTACCAGTAATTGTATCTTTCTTAGGGATTAAACTAATAAAATAAATTATAAGAACCTAAATACACTTACGCAAAATTACTCATACATTATACAAATGTAATTCCATAATTTGTGCAGTAGCAAATAAATAAGTTGGTATGTTGATACATAATTAGGTATATAATTACATTTGCAGGAATATCAGAAATTCCCTCTGGGGCAATTGCAATTTCAATAAGACTGGCAAGTAATAAATATAATTCTAATAATTTTATTTGCAGGCCCGGGATAATAAATACGCTATGCGCAGCGGTTGTTGAGTTTTCCGATTAAATGAGCGCTCATTTCGATGATATTAGTTCATCCTCTACAGGCGTGCTGGCAATTGCGGAAACAACAAATAGAGTAAAACTCTACACGTAATTTCCATTTGACGTCTGTTAAATATGCGGCATTCTTCGGCTCGAGCAGCACGTGTGTGACTAAATTATTGCGAACTTTACCAACGATTCATTTATTTTCATTATTATGCTCGTATACTTAGGGATTATTTCGAATTATATTTTTTGGAATTTCTAGCGGGTAATAAATTTGAAAATTCTCTCACAAACATTTTCACATTCCCGCTGTGTTAACGGAAACATGATCGAACTTAATTTGAATATATGATGATGAATTAAATCATTCTATGTTATGAATAATAAAATTGGCACATTTCCAAATTGAGGCCTGCTGTAGAAATAAATGAAAAATACATTAAAGTATTTATGATTTATGTTTTATAATAACTTTATCGTATATAAAAATTTAGAAAGGTTATAAAATTAAAAAAATAAATACCTACTAGTATATTGAATATTTTACTTTATGTTTGTATTTTTTATCCATTTACTATTCATATATTATTCTTAGAATGCGCATTTTAATTAACGGAAAAATATATTGATTGGCAATTATTAAGTAATTAGGATTACTTAATATCTATGAGATTTACAAAGCATAAACTCTACATTGATTTGAAATCCATCCAAAAATATTAACAACAAGAAAAGGAAATATCACCAACTCAACGCCTACAAAGTTTAGTGCTCTCCTACACGCTGTTACAAAGGAAAATAATGGGATATAAAAACGAAATGAAATCGCAACACTTAATCTAAGCCATCGAAAAAATGATTCACATTATGTCAATACCAAGTTCAATGCTACATTGTATGCTAATTATCGTAATAACGTATTGTATCGGCTTTTTCATGACTTAATCGACAGCGTTAACGCTTCGAGACGAACGAAAGAGAAGTTCTGCGAATAAGCGTAGGAGATTCTTGTAATTGGTTCTGATTAATAGATGATATAGGAAGGCGAGGCAACTAAGAGTCTGAATAAAGAATCATGAAAATCCACACAATATTTTTCAAGGTTGCTATCAACAACAAATAATACAAATTAATTATGAAGGAAATTGGTGACTCAAAGAAAATATGTAGCAAAGAAATTAAGTTATATTCAACACAGCAGGGCACTGAAAAAGTAATCTAACTTCTGTGAGGAATTCAAATAATGTTCGTTTGATATCCTGGTTAAAAAACTAAATTAATTTTAATCTTATTGACAATTGAACGAACAATAATCAAGGGCGAAATGTCAGCACAAATTTCTAACAAAGTTAATTTGATTAATATAAATCAAATAATAAGGTCGAATAATAAAAAAAACTTAAAACATATTTTAAGCAATTCCGTATATGACGACTTTGATGACTTTATTGAATTAAAAAAATGAACATATCTTAATTAACTTTATGATTGAGTCAATCAACTATACTTAAAATATTAAAAGGTATATTCGAATAATCCGTATTCAACTCAGACCTTTGTAGGTTTCCCGTCTGCTCTACCATTGTATTCTCTCGTATAAGTCTCATTGCATTTACAGTTAAGAAGGTTTGCGTGGAAATTCCTGCACATAAAGTTTAACTAAACAGAAAAAAGCAGTTTTTATATAAAACAGATGTTGTAGACTTTTATGACCAAAAAAAAAACAAGTTCCATTTTATTAAGCTGCTTATCGGATAAAAGGAAACATAAGAAACCAAAAATGCATGGTATTTAATGCCCTATTAAGTTTGGGACTTACATTTACAACGAAGAACCGTAAAATTAGGCAGGAACTCGCAGGAAGGATTTGGTCGGCCATTATTTGCTTCAATTTAAATCGAACAATGCGAATAAAAAAGCAAGAAATCGAAAGAAGCGACTAACGGTACAATGTGCGACCGGAAGTTATGTCTTTTCCGAGCCAGCTAGATTCTTAGGACTTTAACCTTTCCTGCTAGGCATTCTGTTCTATTAGTCACGAGCAGACGAACGACGTGAGCCATCGATGACGGCTTTGATGTAATCCGTCAGATTGCAAGCGATAACGAATTGAAATAACACAACATCATCCCAAGATTAAATACACTCGCATTTAATTTAAAAAATTGGAAACTGGAAACACTATAAGTAACTTCCAGTGCAAAGATAAGAAAGCTTTAGATAGTAGCAGGAAAGAGAACAAAATGGGTTGTGAAAGAGAGGAAGGAAGTGTAGGTCTATTTAGTACAGAACCTATATACGGTGCCAGCTAGGGAATTGTTTAAAAATTCATTCTGAATTGATTGCTTCTCAATATCGATAATGAGATTCTTCAGTCGTACTTACCTACTGCTGA